AGTAGGCTGAGACTTACTTGTAGCATTGGTGACAAAGTCAAATATGAAAGTTTCAGGATTTGTTTGAGTAGCTATCAGAATCATTTTCAAGCTCTCTTCTTAAGGTCAACAAATTATCACGGCATCCAGACAGATTAAAATGTTCTAGGCAATTTCCCTTTGCCCTGCCAAGTTTACCTATAGACCATCTAAGACAAGACATTACAAGAGTCACTTTCCTGAAATGGATTACAAACTTTCTCATCTGTTGTTATGTCTTAATATAGACGAGGACTTTAATCAAGGACCTAGAAGGCAGATCCAAAAAGGTCATGAGCACAAACCACCAACTGAAGATTCAAATAAATAAGCAAACTCTCCCTTTTAAATATTAATTCCTTAAAAGGCTGCCATAATAAACTTCAAGCTACATCCCAGCAAGAGAAGGGGAGTGAGCCGAAGAGGCGAAAAGAAACGAGGAGAGCAGGAGGGCACAGGCAGCTGAAGATCACACACCAGAAATGCAAAAAAAGGTAAAAAGACACCAAAGACAAACTAAACTTCACCAACAGCTACCAATTATCCATCTTCCCTCAGGGCAAGCCTATTAATAAACAAGATTTTGCTGCTACATGTTTTGGAGGCACTATTTTCTTAATGCCAAGTTATCCAACAGTATTCAACGTAAACCAGGGTTATGAATGATAACTGAAGAAACTAAAGCTTCCTGGCAATTTTCTGTTCACTATAGACATGATATAATGAAAAAAAAGAAAAAAAAGAGTCTCTGCTTCATCTAGCCTATTAAAAAGAATACTGAATTAGATCCTGAATACATAGTTCCTAGTTTTGGCTTTGACCCTCTTGACACGTGACTTTAGTCACTAAATGTTTATCAATATTTGCATTCACCTAAACAGTACTACTTGAGTACCTAAAAAATGAGTTATTTTAGAGTTTCTCAGCACTGCCTGCACACTAGAATCACCTGGGAAGACTTTTTTTTTAAAAAGATTCTCTTGGCCCCTGAGATTATGATTTAATTGGTCTGAGGTAGGGCCCAGGCATAGGTTTTTAAAAAACACTCCCTTGGGATTTTAACCTGCAGCCCAGGTCTATTTTGTCTTATGTATATGTGAGGAACAGCAAAATAATGCAAAAAACCCTCCTGCTTCCTTTCAAATTTATCAATTTTCCCTTCTTATCCAATTTAGTTTTACCCCAGATTCTTACCACCTCACACCTAGATTAACAGAATACCTTCCTATTTTCCCTTCCACCAGTCTCCTCCCAACCCAGTAAACCATTATATGCTTGCCTAACTAATCAGTTTGGTTCTGAAACATTATCCCACTGAGAGTCATTTTTAAGTATAACAATACCAACAAAGAAAACTGTTTTCATCAGAGGATACTGTATGTATACAGATGTGTATGTATGCGTGTGTACATGTATATATGATCTCAAACATGCTCTATTTTTCTTCAGTTCCAGTGTACCCACTTTCATTTATACATAATGAATACTACTAGTCTCTTCACATACAAAAATATTGCCCCTAAATAGTTCATGACTGAATTTTGTCAAAAATGAATGGCAAATGAAGGACCTCAATGTGAGAAAGGAATCCATCAACATCCTTGAGAACACAGGCAGCAACCTCTTTGACCTCAGCCGCAGCAACATCTTCCTAGGAACATCGCCAAAGGCAAGGGAAGCAAGGGCAAAAATGAACTATTGGGATTTTATCAAGATCAAAAGCTTTTGCACAGCAAAGGAAACAGTTAACAAAACCAAAAGACAACTGACAGAATGGGAGAAGATATTTGCAAACGACATATCAGATAAAGGGCTAGTGTCCAAAATCTATAAAGAACTTAGCAAACTCAACACCCAAAGAACTAATAATCCAATCAAGAAATGGGCAGAAGACATGAACAGACATTTCTGCAAAGAAGACATCCAGATGGCCAACAGACACATGAAAAAGTGCTCCATATCACTCGGCATCAGGGAAATACAAATCAAAACCACAATGAGATACCACCTCACACCAGTCAGAATGGCTAAAATGAACAAGTCCGGAAATGACAGATGCTGGCGAGGATGCGGAGAAAGGGGAACCCTCCTACACTGTTGGTGGGAATGCAAGCTGGTGCAACCACTCTGGAAAACAGCATGGAGGTTCCTCAAAATGTTGAAAATAGAACTACCCTATGACCCAGCAATTGCACTGCTGGGTATTTACCCTAAAGATACAAACGTAGTGATCCGAAGGGGCACGTGCACCCGAATGTTTATAGCAGCAATGTCAACAATAGCCAAACTATGGAAAGAACCTAGATGTCCATCAACAGACGAATGGATAAAGAAGATGTGGTATATATATACAATGGAATACTATGCAGCCATCAAAAGAAATGAAGTCTTGCCATTTGCAACGACGTGGATGGAACTAGAGGGTATCATGCTTAGCGAAATAAGTCAATCAGAGAAAGACAACTATCATATGATCTCCCTGATATGAGGGAGAGGAGATGCAACATGGGGGGTTAATGTGGTCGGAGAAGAGTAAATGAAACAAGTTGGGATTGGGAGGGAGACAAACCATAAGTGACTCTGAATCTCACAAAACAAACTGAGGGTTGCTGGGCAGAGGGGGGTTGGGAGGGGGGGGGGTTATGGACATTGGGTAGGGTATGTGCTATGGTGAGTGCTGTGAAGTTTGTAAACGTGGAGATTCACAGACCTGTACCCCTGGGGGGGAAAAAATATATATATATATATATATGTTTATAAAAAAATAAAATTATAAAAAAAAAAATGAATGGCAAATGAATCACTCACAAATTTCTCATTTAAAATTTGAAGTGTTCCCACAAGGAACACACATTCAACTGAAAAAAATAAATAAAATGAGGTGGAATCGTCTCAAAAATCCAATGTTACCGTAGACACTGATAAAGTTTATGACGAATGAATCCTTACCAAGAACAAATATGGCTCTGCTTTGTGTTAACGCTTGCCTCAGAAAACCAACTGAAGGCTTAAAAGCCAAAGGTCATATCCACAGAAGATGATATTCAAGTTTATGAAAAATATTTTCAAGTACAATCTAAGCAATAAATAACGAGAAGACTAAACAAGTTTATGACTTACTCCCTGCCCTTAAGGAGCTCTCCAGCTTCTCAGGGACAGCATGACACAAACATAAAAAAGAAAATAAAGCCAGCCCTAGCAAGTAAGTGGCAAAGATGGTTAAGTACCGTAAGAACTCAAAAACCGGAGACTGCTGTGGACTAAGGCAGTTAGAGACAGCTTCCTGGAAAAGCTGGGGGCTTGAACAAAATTAAATAGATGGAGTAAAGACAAAAATCCCAAGCCTGTGGGTGACCTTCTACAAAGATGAGACAGAAATTCATTAAATATATTTGAGGGACAGGGAGCTGACCTCGTTGGAACAGAGGGTTCTGTGTAGGAGTGTTTGGGGCAACAAGGTTGCAATAATAAATTGGAGCTGGACAGTGAAAGCCCTGAATGCCAAGCCAAACTCAAACTTAGTCCTACAGACACATCCTTTACAGGTTATAAAGCACGATAAGCAAAACAATATATCTCCTTAATGATGCAGTCTGAAACCATTTTTCCTGAAGCCTTTTAAGAACATACCAAGTCATATAATATTTTGCCAATATATTCATAAATATGTGAACATATTGTTTAGGAAATCTGTTCAGAGTGAAGGAGTAAATACTCAAACATGTTTTCCAAAATACAAAATCAGTGATCGATTACGCATTCACAGTTCTTAGTAATTCCTAAAAGAGTAATTGGGTAGAAAGCTTCATTTTAGGCTTTGCTCCTCTCCCGAACCTCCTCCAAACACATACCTAAATTTCATATCCAGAAACTGAATACACTGAAATAGTGTTATTCTGAAAATAAGAGGCCTTTTATTACTAATCATTATAGGTGAATTTACTTACTGTACTGTTTCAAAATTACTACACCTATCAAAATAATTTTGTCCATGATTTCTTTGAGCAAAGCAAATATAAAAGATAACAAATGCAAAGATTATAAAAAGCAAGAAACCCTTTCATCAAACCAAAACGTATTTAAAATAATCAGCATTGGTTTATAAGGCAGAGAGGAAAGAGTATGTTCATAACAAAAATTGCCATCCACAACAAAGAGTACCAGAGAGTATATGAAGAACGCTACAATAGCCAATTTCTCAACCAAAACGATAGGCCATTAGCCCACAACTCCCTAAAGAATAGAGTTAATTTTGTTTCTCAGAAATGCCCTCAAATTTTTTGGCTATTTCTGCTATAAAAATTAAGACTCTAACATAACTCAAAACAAGGATCCTTTCCCCTAGTAACCAGACATGTTAGTGATTGATTATTTCATTTGCCATTGCAACAAATACTAATTTAACCACCACTACCTTCTCAACACCAGGAAAATGAAAGGCATACGTGACCAGAAGGCAAGAATATACTAAAATGATTAAAATACACACACAAAATATCACGTAAAACCCGTGGCAATGCTTCTGCTGTACGAAGAAAAGGAATATGCCATTCTTCCAGACACATATGCCTTTAAAGAATATGTGTAGCTTGTGATTTTTTGTATTGTCCCCCCGCCCCAGAAAGATGAGAAAGAAGATCCGAGAGAGTTGAAAGAAGTGCATTAAGGAAGGTGTCAATACCTCCCTCCCTACTCCTTACTGGGGAAACTCGCTTTAACAATAATGCTCTTTCACCCCTCACAACGCGCCGGATTTCCATACATCCTTCAGTCGCCAACCCCCTCCCCCTCCACGACCACCACCATTCCCTTCTCTCTCCCTCACATTCACGAGAACAGGCTGCTCCGACTTTGTCAGTCTCGCCGCCCCCGCGAACCCGCCCAGACCAGCAGAGTCCAACAACGCAGCCACGCAGCCACCCACACCCCCCACCTCCTCCTTCGGAGCCCAGCTTCCCCTCCCCCGCACCCCGTCCTGTCACCTGCTTGGGTGGTGTCCGTCAGGTCGTAGCCGCTGCCCGGGAAGTCTCGGAGTTTCCTACCACTGAGGCTCAGGATGCCGGAGTTGCCCGCCTCCTCCAGGGCCCGGTCCAGGCTCCTCACGGTGTGTTGAGGCTGCAGGCTCCCCGGGTTCCACTGCGGCCCGTTGGGGAACGGCTGACCGAAAAGAGTCGGTACCGGGATGGGCACCACCAGGGTCCCGCCGCCGCCGCCGCCTCCCCCTCCAGCTCCGCCACCTCCCCCTCCGGCTGCGCTACCGCCACCGCTACTTCCACCTCCACCACAACCGCCGCCCCCACTGTTAACACCACCTCCCTGACTCGCCGCCATGTTCCTGGGAGAGAGAATAGCCCCCGACAATACTCTCAGCTTGTGCCGCGAGTGTAGGGGCTTCTTAGGACGCATGCGCAGACTGGGGGGGGCAGACGGGGGGAGAGGTAGAGGGTGGGAAGGAACCAGGGGGCGGACTGGGAGGAGGTGTTGGGTAGAGAAGAGACGGTGTTCCAACGTGCAGAACGCTCGCTTTAAGAAATGTGTGATCAGAGGAAGGATGCTAAATCTCGGTTCCGCTGCTTTGGGTACCAAGATCTTGCGAAGCGACACCAGCTTAACCACAGGTCATTTAGCGGTCTGTCCCCAGATCTCTAAATTGCTTCACCTTTCTCGCTCTGCAAAACAAAGGCAAATAGATAGGGGTGAAAGGGATCCGTTTCAGAATATATTGAAACCGCTTTTAGAAGGACTATAAGCCATCTTATTGAAACGTTTATCGCAAATGCCTCAGGAATTGTTTACCAGTGTTGACAGGGAGAGAAACGGTGGAGGGTCATTTGGGGAGGGAAACCGGTGGAGAACCGAGTTTTAAGCATATACGAATTTTACCATAATTTAGAATTCCAAAATAGGAAAAGACTTTTTAAATGTTTTCAAGGAAGCCTCTCGTTTCAGTATATGTGGGTCTCAGCCAAAGTGCTGCCTTCCAAAACTTGGAAAAGTTCTCTGCATTCTGTTCTATCACTCTTTGAAGTTGTGCCAAGATCTCCAAAATATCTCAGGTTTCTTCTCATCATGTCAGTATGGCTCATGGAAAACTCTTCGATCATTAAGCAACCTTAAAGTTTACTTTCGAAATTAAAGTTTTGGTTTTAAATGGAATTCTGTAGGTTTAACACTGGGAATAATAAGCCAATCAATCTTCGATTTTAGGAGGTCATTTTTAGAACCTGAACCCAACAATTCAGGCCACTGTTAACCCTTCTCTACCCACTCAGATTACTCAAAACTTTTTCAATGATAGTAAAGAGACCCCTCCCCCCAAGAAAACTATCCGAATATTTGGGCATATTCAATCATCATCAATTTGAATATCCAATGCATCTCTTAGAACCATTTCAATTTGAGCAATCTGCCAACAATCTTCTTTTCTTAGAAATCACAAAAGTTTATCTGCCATTGGCTCTACTTTGGGGAGAAATGCAAGAAAAAAATTTGTGGCCATCCATACAGGTTACTTAAAATGAGTATGTTGCAAGAAATTACATTTACCATATGCATGACCCACAGAAGGAACAGAACTGAGAATCAGACTCTACAATGAATTAGCTAGCTATTTAAACCCACTGGCGTCAGAAAGAAATGTTGTACCTTATATCTCATCTTTATATCACAAATCAAATCAAGTATTGATTGAGAACTTCCAGAATCTAGAAGCGGAGGGGAGAAACTAAATTTATTACTTAGAGAAAAGACTAGAAAAGGAATGATTTTAATAATAATTAGCCAATTAGAATTGTGACATTATTTAAAAGGATGTATTGGACTCCAGGAAAAATATCCCCTTATACCTGTCAAGTGTAAAAGGTGTAAAACCAGTGTAAAAAACAAATTTAAGAAGTAAAGTAATCTTTCATAAAATTAAAAGATAGTCTAAGTAAAAAGCAGGAAGCCTGCAAAGTAGGTTAGGTATACATGAAAATCAGACAAAATAACACATTCTAGAGCTCTTTCACAAAAACACCAAGGCCATAAGGAGTATTAAAATATAAACTGAGACATATTTTAAAAATTTAAAAGTTGGTTTGAGCATTTATCAATTTAAGTTTAGACAATGCCAAACCAGAAGTGGCTAGGAGTACTCTGCCAACAGGAACCAAGGGAAAAACATGTACAAAAATGGGAAAGCGAAGAAAGGAAATTGTCTGATTGGCTATAACTTAAAGCTAGTTGGGTGTTTGAGATTGGTTGTCCTTAGCATTTTGATTTCATAACCTTGAGGCATTTATAGGTTTAGATTTTGGTATGCTTAAGTAAGTCACCTTAGCAATAGAACCACCTCAGTCTAATGTTCCCCCTTGTTTCGTTAACAGGTTTAGAAAAGTATGAAATTTGGAAATTTGTTCCAGCCACCTAACTGACCGTGTAATACTCAGAAAAGTATCTTAAAAATCTCTATATGTCAGTTTCCTTGTAAGTAACACTAGAAAATAACACGAAGAAGAACATTTAAAATAGTACTTAATAAAAAATAAAATAATGCTTACTGTTTGCCAAAATTGCTTTGCATATACTGTCATTCAATCTTCATAACAACCCTATAAAATTCAATTCAATTCAATCTTCATAACAACCCTGTAAAATAAGTATTATTATTCTTCCATTTTACAGATGAGGAAAATACTATATAGTTCACATAAGACTGTTCTAAGAATAAATAAGATCACCTATGAGTTACTACTCTATGCCAAGAAACTATTCTCTGCAAGGAATAGTATAGCATTAGGTACTCAATAAATATTAATCTCTTTTTATACCCTTGATGCTTTCTTAAAAGAAAACTAAATAATAAGAAACATACAAATAGAAGAAGTCAAGAGGAAAATCAGTTAATTTCTTGATAATTGTGCACAAAAGGATATTTGACATATTGCATAAATTTTTTTGCTTCAAGTCTATAGCGCAGAATATTTTACAGTGGTTACCACTTCAATGTTATTTTTGATCTGGATGTTGGTAATTGGTTAAATTACAGTCAATACTCAGCATTATCCAAGCCAAACTTAGAAAACAAATGTTGATAAATCAACAGGACTAAATGATATATATCAAAGATTACAGAAGGAAAACAAGGGGTTTTGAACAAAACATGCCGCCTCTATTAAATAAAGTGCTGGCAAATGACACAGGTGACTTTTACTCAAAAGAACTCTAAAGGGGACTTCTGAAATTCCAGGCCAGTTTATAGTTACTGCTATTCCAAGCAAACGGTTAGGTACCCAACATCTCTAAATAATATAGAGGAGGAAAAGCACAGTCCAAATTTCCAAATTCTTCTGTTAGAGAGCAAGATTATTGGGATAGACTGTAGGATGTTCTTACCAGTCTGTAAATCAAAAGTGAGATATGTTTCACCTCATGCTCTAGAGCAAGTTAATGATCCTGGGATTAAATAGATCAAATTATAGTATGAATTTTTGTTTTCCATCCTGGTTAGGATCCAGGAGAGAGCCATGGGAGTCTCTGCAGTTTTTTCCCTGAAACTATCAGCTCAGTTAAATACTAAATTCAGAGAGGGGGGTGGATGGCTCGCTGGTTTAGTCGGTAGAGCATGATACTCTTGATCTCAGGGTCATTAGTTCAAGGCCATGTTGGACATAGAGCTTACTTAAAATAAATAAATAAATTCAGGTGGGGGCAGGGAGTGCCTAGATAGCTCAGTCGGTTGGGTGTCTACTTTCAGCTTAGATCATGATCCCAGGGTCCTGGGATCGAGCCCCGCATCAGGCTTCCTGCTCAGTGGAGAGTCTGCTTCTCCCTCTGCATCTCTCCCCCCTCGGCTTGTGCTCTCTCTCACTCAAATGGATAAATAAAATCTTTTTTTTTTTTTAATTCAGGGGGAAAAATAAGAAATGGTGAGTATCATCAAGATATATATCAGAAACCCTAAAAAATATTTTTTTAAAGATTGTATTTATTTATTTGACAGACAGAGATCACAAGTAGGCAGAGAGGCAGGCAGAGTGTGGGAGGAAGCAGGCTCCCCACTGAGCAGAAAGCCCACGTGGGGCTCAATCCCAGGACCCTGAGATCATGATCTGAGCTGAAGGCAGAGGCTTAACCCACTGAGCCACCCAGGTGCCCCAAAAAACTATTTTTTTTAAATCAACAAGGATATATATATATATTTTTAAAGATTTTAAGTAATCTCTACACCCAAGATGAGGCTTGAACTTATAGCCCCAAGATGAAGAGTCATGTGTTTTACTGACTAAGCCAGCCAGGCGTCCCTGCAAAAGCTATTAATATACCCCATGCTAAACCATTTCACAGCTGCAGCTAGAATGAGATATGCAGTTCTGCTCACTCCAATCTTAGTACAACTCCTGAATTAGAGAAAGCCCTGAGAAGTACACCTAAAATGATTAGAGAAATGGGAAACGGGGAAACTCACTTGGCCCTCCTCTCTCTAGTAACTTGATCTTCAGTCCCTTCCCAAATCCCTCTTCTGGTAGGGGACCTTCAGACGACTATAGATTAACTTATTTTAACATAATTTATAGCACACTATTTACAACATCCCTGATCCTCCTTTGCCTGTCTGTCTTTGTTTCTACCCATACAGATAAACCCTTTGCACTGCTTTAACGAGTCTTAACAAACTCATTAATCCCAAAGATAATATTTATTAACTCGAAAGAGATTTGGGCAAATGTATCAACGATCACTATTACTTAAAAGGAGCTATTACGTACCTAGTTTTCAGTGCTGACATCAGCAAGCACTATTATATTCTATCTTGTTAAGAATCCCTGCTATGACACTTACAAGATGTGAGGTAGACAAGTCTTACCTCTCAAAGTTTCGATTCCTCATCTATAGACCAGAAATCATAACACTATTAGCTATTGCATAGGATTATATGAGGATTACATGAGATAATTACTTAAACACCTACCATATTATAGAGGTTATTATTATCTTTTTTCTAGGTTCACTTTGTCACTAGAACACTGACCTAGTGAACCATGAATTATCAGCATGGCACTTCTTTTTTTTTTTTTTTTTAAGATTTTATTTATTTATTTGACAGACAGAGATCACAAGTAGGCAAAATGCCTGGAAGAAAGAGAGGGGGAAGCAGGCTCCCTGCTGAGCAGAGAGCCCAATGCGGGGCTCGATCCCAAGACCCTGGGATCATGACCTGAGCCCAAGGCAGAGGCTTTAACCCACTGAGCCACCCAGCCACCCCAGCATGGTACTTCTTAAATTCTTTTGTACTATTGTGCCACCAGCGCTAACAAACATTTTCCTTTGTGCTGCTGTGGAGGTTACAACCTTGTTCATTCACCCTAAACTTCCACCTCTCCTAACTT